CCTCTTCCTGGCAGGAACCAGGCAGTATAGGCTTGGTCTGTCCTCGGATCAACACCCAGAGCCTGGCCCCACACACATGCTCTTGGTAACATCTGAGGGTAGGAGGACTGTACCTCTGCTTCCTGGGCCAGTAGCAGAAGGTCATATGCCTACTCTTATAGACACACTCAGGAACACTTATATCGCACACTGTATACACTTACCTACTTGTGCTCATACACATTACTTGCTCAACGCTCATAAACAACTCACATATCTACAGTCACACATACAATCACATTTACGCACACGTATAACTCACAGTCATGTTCCTGCACTCACACATGTGCCTTTAACTTACACACTCACACGTACATGTACACTCAGCACACACAGGAGATGACTCGGGGGATCCACTGACGGGCTGAGCACCCCCTCCACACCCTTCATGACCTCCACAGGACCTCCTCTGGAGCAGGCCATGGATCCGATTTGCACATCTCCTGATGACCTCTGATCAGACTGTGACCACTTAGGGTCACTGCAGCCCACACTTCATGCTTGAATTCTCATCCCATCATAAAGCAGACTCAATGGTTGTCAAAGTGAGCACACGGCCAGGAAAAGCCACCACGGGCTGCTGCCTGCAGTGAATAGAGGGCTCACTCCCCACGGCGGTTTCTTCCTCGTGTGGGAGATGCAGACCAGCAGCCCACCGATTTCCTCCAGGGGACATGCAGCCAGGGATAAGCTCCAGCCCACCAGAGGAGACATGTGTAGGTGGTGGTTAAACCTTAGGCAGTTTGGATGGGCTGTGTCCAGAGGAAAAGAACCAATTTATGGGATCAGGGGGCACCTTTGTGTCCCCCTGGGGGAGTTACTTTTCCCTGTAGACCTTCCCTCCCAACTTTGGAAACCCCTCAGGTGGCCGTGCTACCACAGTCTTCCGAGAGTAGCTGGTGTCCCTCCTGCCCTTTCTTACTAGTGCTAGAGTTCCAGGTGCATTTTGGCTGTCCACCTTCTGGAGTCTTGTTCACTAGCTGGCATGGGCAGGAGAGTCTATATGTCTGCTCCCTTGGATATATTGAGCTCTGGTAAAATGCTGGACCTTCAAGGAGTCGGGGAGTTGTAATCACATTAGATGGGTGTGTAGGAACTCCTGGGGCTCACTCTTTAGAAGCAGAGAACCTTGCAACACTGCCATAACTTATGGCCCCCATGCCAACTCAACACCGCCCAAGATTAATTTATGGGACACCCAGTGGTGTCTAGAGAAGGTGGGAATGTCCCCTCGGTGGAGGAAAACACATCCCACAGAAATTTCAGAAAGCTTGGTTACTGTCTTCCTGTTCGATACTGACCTCAGCGCTGCCTGGAAGGATGTTAAAGACACCCTGCTATAGATGGGTGTCAGTGGCACCTGGGCATCTGAGAGGCAGAGAGGAGTATGAGGAACGACTTGAATAAAAACGTGCAGACCCCAGTCTCAGGAGGCCCCGCCTCGGAAGAGCCTGACACCAGGGTCTCTGCTGTCAGCCAGGAGTTCCTGCTCTGTCTCCAGCACTTCTGCAGACAGTGGGTGGCACCTGCAAGAAGGGGATGTGAGTTTCAGGGGTGACACAAAGAACCCCGCAATCTCACACTCTCGGAGTTAAAGGCTGACCTGAGTGGTCCGTGGCAAAATGAGGCACATCTAGTCCGAAAAAAATATTTGTGTCGCATTCTTCATATTTATAGCTACTAAGTAGCCAGAGAAATGAGTTTCAATATCTGATGTGCTTGGATTTGGAACCCGAGATCTTGCTACATAATGCGTGAGTGATGGTTGCTTGGTGGGAGTAAACATCTTTATATTTACTGCAGTGTACACACTGCAGAGAATCTTTATGAATAAGCGAAGCCTCATAACGGTGCCGCCTTAGGAATGGAGAGATGGCCAACTTAGAGGGACTTGGAGCTTCTGTCTCTAGGGTGGAATACTGCTCTGGGACCCTTGGGAAAATGTGACATTTAAGTTTCAAAATTGTATCAGCCATACCCAGCTTTATTATACACCCACACATAGATGGTCCATGGCATTTTCCTGCCTCATGAAGCTGCAAAAGAAGCCTGTATTCAGTAGCACCCACACTTCAGTATTGGATTCCAGTCTCTTCCCTGATTGGCCTGTGAAAGACAAAGCTCGGATGATACAAGGCAGTAGCTGGAGCCATAACCTCCTCCACATCCTGTAATCATGTTTGTGTCCCCCAGACCTCGGTGGCCACCCCAACAGATCTTCACCCTCAGCATTCCCAAGTTCTAGAAAATAAGAAAGTACCTTAGAGATGCCCCAGCCTCCCAGTGCAAACCCAGTGTGATTGAAATCTCAGTCCTTGACCTGCCCAGGGCCCCAGGGAGCTCCAGCCCCACTGCACTCCCTCCAGGTGGGGTTCCCCACTCCTGGCCCTACTGCACTCCCTCCAGGTGGGGTTCCCCACTCCTGGCCCCACTGCACTCCCTCCAGGTGGGGTTCCTCTCTGGCTTTGGGTTTTGTTTGGTTCCTTCATGGAGGGAGCAAGAACATAAACCAAGATGCTGCCAGCCAAGAGACCAATCCCAACCTCTGAGATCTGGTGACCATGTACCATGTGTGTACCACCAAGACCTTCACCATCAATCCTAGCCGACAGTCAGTCTGAATGTAACACCCTAGCCTCTCAAGCTGAAACTGTCACAGTTCACCAACATACACAGACCACACATGCATACACACTTGGGTCTGGGCCCATTGTCTCCACATTGCCGGAACTCATCATGGTATTGTTGCCTGCCAAGATTCATTTTTTTTTAACTTTTATTCTTCTCTCATACATTATACCTCCACTGCAGTTTCTTTTCCTTCTGCTCCTTCCAGTCCCCCCATCTCCCTTTATTAGGGTCTGAGAAAAAGCCCCCAAAGAAGACCAACAACCATGGGGTGGCAAAAAAGTGACCCCCCAAAGAAGGTCACAAGCTCCTTTTGAGTGGAGTTTGGGGACTTTCAGAGAGGAGGGATTAATCTGGGGCTGATTGGTGGAGGAAAGATTAGTATAGGGGCTGATTGGTGGAAGGTCCTGGTGGTTGGGGACCTTCCAGCAGCAGGGTAGGAAAAGCAATCTTTAGCCTGCAGAAGTCTGGGGGGGGGGGATCTGCTGACATAGCAGAAGGGCTTTTGGGGCCTGCTGATTCAGCAGAAGGGCTTGTGGGGGTGCTAACTGATGGTGACCCATAGGTTGTGATTTTCATGAGACCTGCTTGCTCAGCTCTGTCCCACTCTAGTGAAGTGAAACTAAGGTCTGGTCTCTGTCAGGGCTCTGGTCTGCTGCTTCCCCCCCCCCCCCTTCCAGCCTTTTCACTTTCTCTCCCAGATCAACTCCTCCCCTGTTTCCCTTATTGCAGAGCAATAGCCCATTGTGTAACTGGCCATCCTTAGTGAGGTTTTTGTTGGCTATTTGGGTCATTTCTACCCTTGGGCTATCATGAATAAAGCAGCCACAAACACTCTCTACAGGACTTCCAAGGATAGATGCGTCCATCCCTTAGGGCAAGCACATGTGAGGAGAACTTCTGGGTCATCAGGCAAGTACATGCCTCAGTTTACCTGGAGCTAATGGTTTCCCCGTGGTTGTCATTTTACATTCCCACCAGCTGTGTGGCAAGCGTAGCTGTTTGTCCTCCCAGGCTTCTTGATTTTAGCTGTACTAATGGGTTTGAACGTGGGAGTCATCTCTTGGTGCTGTCTTTTGTGATTAGTGACAACGTCAGCACTCTTTCTGTGCTGGCTGGATAGTCATGTATCTCACTTTGCTGCGTGTCTGACATCCAAGTCTTTAGCAGCTTTTAAACTTGCTATGATTCATCTGTTGAACTCTTGATCTTGTATCAGAGATTTTATTGTGAATGTTCTCTCCCAACCTGTGCTCTACCTTTTTATTTTCCTAACAGCCTATTTTAAAGTTCAGAAGGCTTTGCTTTTGAAGACAAATTTGTCTGTTTCTCTTTGTACCTGCTAAGGTCTCACGGGCACATGTGCTGACTCATAGCCCCAGCAGGTGGCGCTATTTTGAGAGGCTCTGGATTCCTTAGAAGGTGGCTCCAGGCTGGAGGAAATAGGTCACTGGAGGCGTGGCCTTGGGGACTGCGGCTCCTTCCTAGGATGCTTTTGTCCTTCTGCGCTGCACTCCGTTCTAAATGCTTATTTTATCTTCCAGAGCCAGCTTTGTCTTTGCCTATGCGCCTGCTCACCTGATGCTCCAGGGGTCTCCATCGCTGCCCACCCACCATTGCTGAAGCACAGCCCCAACAATAACCCGGGGCTCTGCCCAGCTAGGACCTCCAAGACTACTGTGTCTTATTTGGAGTCCTCTGAGAGTCTTCTTCGCCCAAGGACCCTAGAGAGCATAAAAGGAGTCTTTCCACCTTTCCTGACTCCACCCACGACTGCTCCGATCCCTTGTAATGGAGCCTCTGTCCCAGACGGCAGCCACGGGCAGATCTGCTCAGTCTTCACTCCTCACATCCCTAAAGGCTTAGATCGATGTCACAAGTAGACCTGCCACAGGTGGCACCTGAAAATAGAAAGGGAGACTCTTTCCCAGACTGGCAGCCTCCCTGTCCGCTGGTACCCAACAGCCCTCCTTCCTGCTCCTCAAGACATCCTCTGTTAGATTCTTGCAGACGTGCGTCCAACCCGCTCTCTCCCATAACAGGGAGGACTTATGAAGAACTCATATTTTCCCTAACTCAACAAAGCGGGACCTGAAGAATGTGTGGGCAGATGGGAGGTGAGCGCAGCCTGGCGAGAAACTGAGCAAAGCACGGCGTTGGTACCAATTCAACACTCAAAAGTTCTTGACCTGGCCGCGCTCGGTGTCCGCCAGTCCCGCCCCACCCCTTCTTGCTTCCTTCCCCGCCTCTTTCCCCTCTCTACTCCCGGAGTCACTTACACCCCTCCCCAAGTGTAGCCCCGCCCCGACCTCCCGCGTCCTCAGTCTGGATCCGTCTCTTGGCAACCAACCGCTACTGGTACAGCAGCGAAGTCGCTGTCTGGCTGTGGGCCTTAGGCGCCATGGATTTGGTTATCACGCAGGAACTGACCCGTGCCCAGAACCAACAAGGTGGGTCTCATCCTAGCTCTGCTGATGGGAATCTCTTGAGCCCAGGAGAGTGGCACAAGATGCGGTGGCTACAGCTGTTGAGCCTGACCTAATTGTTGAGTCGGGAGGGTTGTGGGCAGCCTGACTAGGAATTCAGACCCGTGTTTCTGTGCCAGAGGAAGGCTTTTTCCGGGGACTGTATCTCTCTGACACACCCATGCCGGGCCCCTCAACTGATCCTCTGCCCGACAGATGCAGCTGCCCTGCGACGAGCTTATGAGCTGATCAAGTCCGCAAACCTGGGAAAATCGGAGTTCGACCCCTCAGAGAGCTTCAGCCCGGACCTGTTCGTGCTGTGTGCAGAGCAGGCACTCAAGGTGGAGCCCCGGGCCTGGCTGGCACTGGCACACGATGAACCTGCCCCCCCCACACACATTTGGGAGTGTTAATGGCACAGAAGAGGGTGGGTGGGACACCGATGAGTGTTGTGGGAACGGGGATGACCAAGCTTTACTTTCCCTGGTTTCAATCTCCTACAGATGGGAGAGCCTGAGATGAGCGAGGACTGCATCCAGATGTACTTCAAAGTGAAGGGGCCAGTAACTCAGTTTCTGGGTCGAGCACACCTGTGCAGGGCCCAGCTCTGTGCCCCACAGTCAGAGGAAAACCTGGTGAGAACATCCCCGTCTGTTTTCACCCCATCCCCGGGGAGAGCAGCAAGTCAGGTCTTAAGAGTGACTTTTGGCCTGGAGAGATGGTTCAGGGGTTAAGAGCACTGACTCCTCTTCCAGAGGACCTGGGTTCAATTCCCAGCAACCACATGGTGGCTCACAGCTCTCTGTAACTCCAGTTCCAGAGGATCCCATGCCCTCATCTAGACATATATGAAGGCAAAAAAAAAAAAAAACACCAATGCATGTACATTTTTTTAAGTGGCTTTGAAGCAAGATGGAGCTGAGGAACCATTTTCTCCTCTACAATGATGCGGAACAGTCAGAGTTCCCGTCTGTGCTTTTCTCTCCACTCCGCATTTGCCGTGTCTGGCATGAGTCCGTCTGACCTCCCACCTCCACGCGGCAGTGCTATGGCCTCTCTGTCTTCTAGCACAGCCATCCCTGAGCTGGGCAGAGGGGGAGCTGGGAGAGTCAGGCACTCAGGGGCACAGCCAGCTGCGGTTTCTGTGCAGAAGCTGGGGTGCCAAGCAGTTTGCATTTGGTGACGGAGGTGGAGATGCGTGGTGACGGCTGCTTGTGTGGCAAAAGCGCCTTACCTGTGCATTCGCCGGGCTCTTTTAGGAGGAATTTGAGAACTGCGTGACTCAGTACATGAAGGCTATAAACTTCGCAAAAGGAGAACCGAGGTAGGCATGCGGAACCGTCTGCTTCTGCTGGATTGCGTAAGACTTTGGTGCCCAGAGGTGCCAAGTGATGCTGTTTATTTATGCTACCCTCCATCCATCCCCTCTCCTTTCTGTTTTGTGTTTAATGGAGTCATGGCACGGGCTTGTCTTATTACCTGGGAGAACCAGCCACGTTCATGCATCTTTCGTCGTGCTCGGGACTTGTTGGGATTTGTTGATGGCTGTCAAAGTGTTTTCTCTGTGGCCTTCCTTCCCAATCCGTCCTCCAGTACCCCTTATTCCTGTCTTTGGGGGTTGGCCTTTCTGAAGGGAGAGGGGACACTCTGGGGCTCCTCTGGTTGGATTGTGGTCCTGTACCCCTTCCCCTCTTCTTGTCTCTGCAGCTGTGAGTCTGTGAAACCCTAGCACAGACTTCTAGTTGGTGGCTGTCTTTTTTTCCACCCAAACCCAAATTCAGCTATTGAAAAGTTAAGTTAGCATACACTGGCATTGGCACACCTGCAGTGGGACCCAACATTAGAGGGGCTTTCGTTCATTTTGCCCATGCCCACTGCTCATCTGTCGAAAGACTTCTCAGGTCACACACTGCACAGGTACAAGGGGCCAGGGGCCAGCCCCATAGGCCTTCCCTCCAGGGGTCAGGAGCCAACCCTGCGCCAGAGAACTCAGCAGAGTGGATGTTTCCAAATACAGCCTTTAGTTCCCGGCCATGATCCACTGCAAGGGTCTTGGAGACAGCTATAGCTGGGCTGAGCAGGTCCCTGTGACTGACTGGTCTGGTTGCTGGTCACTTGATTTCCCTTCTTCCTTCCTGGGTAATGAGCAGCCATGGCCTGTCTGATGACCAATCAGTGATAGAATAGCAGGGCTGCCCGCTCCAGACAGTGGCTTTCTGGTAAGAAAGTCCTGAAGCTTCCCTGTGTGACTCCCTCTGATGCTGCCCTGCCCCTCAGAGGGAGGTGCTTGGGAAGTGCCTCTCCACACACCTTCACCACCTCCTCAGGGGTTTATGCTCAGACATGGAGTTTGTCCTTCAGTCCCTCATTTCCACCTGCAACACACTGTGTCTGACCATCTTTTGTCCGTTCAGCTCCTGGCTGAGTCTTGGACTTCTTTTTTGGTCATGGTAGGATGCCATCTCCTCCAGGAAGCTTTCCACACTTTCTTTCTTTCTTTCTTTCTTTCTTTCTTTCTTTCTTTCTTTCTTTTTTTTTTTTTTTTTTTTTTTTTTTTTTTTTTTTTTTTTTCTTGTTTTTTTTTTTTTTGTTT